CCTTGCATCCGGCCGATTCCCACCGGCACCACCACAGCCGTCGCCGCCGTGGGCCGAAGTGGGGGCCGCACCTATGCGGATCTGCGTGCCCGCGCCACCCATGGATCCGGGGGAGAGGGGAGAGGCCCTCCGCCACCGCGTCGCACGCACGGGCTTTGCCCGGCGCCGACTACCTGTGGCGGCGAAGAGGAGGACGGGGCGTGGGGAGGGTCGCTGGCGGCGGTGAAGGCTGGCCCCCCGTGTCGCCCGCGAGGGGGGCGACGCGAGAGACTCTTCTTCAAAGATTCCTATGTTGGTTCGCTGCCGCTGCTCAACCACAACATATTGTAGGGTCGGTTAATTTATATTCAAAATTTCGCACGGCAGTTCATGCGTAAGGTGCATAATATTCTGTCCGTAGATGTAGTGTTACTCTTATCATTTTTTCACTAGAGCTGAGCAAATTTTGAGATAATCAAGTTAATCTCGGGTACCATACCACAATTATGTTAGGATTGTATATATCTAGAAACAAACTGAAAGGTTTGCTAACCTGTCCATTCTAGTGCAACAGTAGAAGACAGATTTTTCTTGTTCTAAAATAGGTGGATATCCCTCGGTCTGCATAGACTGATGCATGCAGCTAGCCATGAAAAATTGTAGAAACGCTGAAGATGCTTGTTAAGATCCGGGTCGCTGCCTGAAAATAGTGAAAACAATGTAGGAACATACTGAAGAAAAAAGGATGTACAGAACCTGCATATGTTTTACTGCACAGAACCTGCATATTTTTATTAACTACTAAATAGAAAAGGTGATGAGCAAGAAGTCATACAAAAAACAAAGTAGAGGCAGGATAATAAAAGATTCAAAAGGTGTGCTGTCCAGCCGACCAGGGATGACATCTCCGAGCTATCTGGATTGATCTCCACTTGTTTAGCCATATATGTACGAGCACCGATTAGTCAACTGTTGGTTCATGGTCATCAAAGAAAAATAAACATATTACCTTTTGTGCAGACGTTATTTAGAATCTTAGCGTTCCACGACTAGTGTTTGACAACACAGGCAGAGGGTTATGCTTCTCCTAGAAATGTGGGAATGTTGTTTTGTTACGCTAAATGCATGCTAATTGACAATGCTGTACACTAGGCCCAGAAAGACTTTTCGTGGTCTAGGAAGAGCAACACCTCCAACATCCCAATAAAGTTCCCCAGCAAAAAAAAAAAATCATCCCAATAAAGTTGCGACGTCAGGGCATCTTTAACACGGACCCTCAAATCGCCCATAAACATTCAATGATGTCTCTTAAACATCCATGGACTTCTCCGTACGTCCAAATTCCGGCAAACTAGAAGCAAACTTGAAAGGAGGAGGGGGAAGGCTTTGGAGGAGTCCGGACATCTGTCTAGCTAACCAAAAGTCAACACGTCGGACATCCGGACATGCTTGTCTCTACTCAACCGTGACATGCAAAGCCATAGATGGACGTTTAGGGGAGATGGTTTGATGGTTGGCTACAACATCAGTGTCTGCGAACTGGTCCGGACCAATCTGAGAACAAAAACTGTGTCCGGGGTCAGCATTGAATACGCCCCAATGACAAAAAGTTGAACAGCCGATTAAATTATACTCCCTTGGTCTGAAAATACTTGTCATCAAAATGGATAAAAGGGGATGTATCTAGATGCATTTTACTTCTAGATACATCTCTTTTTATTTATTTTGGTGACAAGTATTTTCGGACGGAGGGAGTATCTAATAAAGTGTATTCATATTAATTTTTATAGGAAAAAAGTAGTTATTACTTTCCCAAGAGCTATTAAAATGCCCAGAGACATTTATGTTTAATTTGCATGTGCAGAAAATAGAGGACATAGTCCTCGGTCTATGCATGCAGGCAGGTAAAATGGACATAGGAACTGAAAACATTTTGTAAGCCCCACGTACGTCGCTGCGCAAAAATAGTGAAAACAATGTAGAAACATGGTTGCAAAAAAGTTGCACAGAGCCCCCCACATGTTTCACTGTGCGAAAATAGCACCACCCCAATTACTTTTGCTGTGTTGATGTTGGTGGGTGGAGATGAATGTGGCACAGCAGAGAGCAAAATTGCGGCTGCTGTTTGCGTGTGGCGCCAAGCTCCCCTCCCTCCCTCCCTCCCTCTCACCAACACCAACGCAAAGCAGAGAGAGAAACAGAGAGAAAACAGAGGAGAGGAGCCCGCGGCCGTGTATAAAAGGGCAGCGAGGGTGCGAGAGGGAGCCAGACACCCAACTTGTCACCACCATCCTCTCCTCCTCCTCCTCCTCCTCCTCCTCACTCCAGTGAGCTCGAGTCGGCACTGCACTCTCTCCCAGCTCCAGATCGATCGATCGCCGAGCATACTCGGCTTCTTGATCGATCGTTTGTTGTCTAGCCTAGCATACCCTGCTTCTTGGTCGAGTCGTCGATCATGGTGCAGCCGGTGTTCGACGCGGCGGTGCTGAGCGGCCGGGCGGACATCCCGTCGCAGTTCATCTGGCCCGAGGGCGAGAGCCCGACCCCGGACGCCGCCGAGGAGCTGCACGTCCCGCTCATCGACATCGGCGGCATGCTCTCCGGCGACCCCCGCGCGACCGCCGAGGTGACGCGCCTCGTGGGCGAGGCCTGCGAGCGGCACGGCTTCTTCCAGGTCGTCAACCACGGCATCGACGCCGAGCTGCTGGCGGACGCGCACCGCTGCGTGGACGCCTTCTTCACCATGCCCCTCCCGGAGAAGCAGCGCGCGCTGCGCCGCCCCGGCGAGTCCTGCGGCTACGCCAGCAGCTTCACCGGCCGGTTCGCCTCCAAGCTGCCCTGGAAGGAGACGCTGTCCTTCCGCTCCTGCCCCTCCGACCCCGCCCTCGTCGTCGACTACATCGTCGCCACCCTCGGCGAGGACCACCGCCGCCTCGGGTAAGCGACCTTACCAAGCAGACCGAACAAAGCAGAGCATCTTCCTCCCATACGGCCGAACTGAAAACGCTAACGACCAAGAAACCATTGGACTTTTACAGGGAGGTGTACGCCCGGTACTGCTCGGAGATGAGCCGGCTGTCCCTGGAGATCATGGAGGTGCTCGGGGAGAGCCTGGGCGTCGGCCGCGCACACTACCGGCGCTTCTTCGAGGGCAACGACTCCATCATGCGCCTCAACTACTACCCGCCGTGCCAGCGGCCGATGGAGACGCTGGGGACGGGCCCGCATTGCGACCCGACGTCGCTGACCATCCTCCACCAGGACAACGTCGGCGGGCTGCAGGTGCACACGGAGGGCCGGTGGCGTTCCATCCGGCCGCGGGCCGACGCCTTCGTCGTCAACATCGGCGACACCTTCATGGCGCTCTCAAACGGGCGGTACAAGAGTTGTCTCCACCGCGCTGTCGTGAACAGCAAGGTCCCGAGGAAGTCGCTGGCCTTCTTCCTGTGCCCGGAGATGGACAAGGTGGTGGCGCCGCCGGGGACGCTGGTGGACGCCGCCAACCCGCGCGCCTACCCGGACTTCACGTGGCGGTCGCTGCTCGACTTCACGCAGAAGCACTACCGCGCCGACATGAAGACCCTCGAGGTCTTCTCCTCCTGGATCGTCCAGCAGCAGCAGGGCCAGCTCGCCCTCCAGCCCCAGCCCGCCAGGACATGATGGATTGAACCTACCAGACAGAGGACGGAGCTCTCTGCTCTGCTCTGCTCCTCCCACCATTAGCCAGCCATTGATTCAGCTTAGCTGCTGAGACTGAGAAAAGAGAAAATCATCCGTCGATCGAATGTTATTATTATTACAGCTTACTTAATTGGTTGATCTAGTTGTAGCACGTACTACGTACGAAGAAGCATGGACGGATGGCAAGATTTCCTAGATGATAATTTCCTAAAACTTGCAGGCTTTGCCACTCACTGGCATGAGCCATGAGGCATGAGCCGAGCTCATGAGGTCATGAAGGGTTTGTCGTGGGGTGGTGCATCTGTTTCTGTTTTGTCGTATCATCTGTTGCAGACTTTTGTATTGGCTACTCCACATAGGATAGTTGGTATGGCAGTGGCACGACGGACAAGGTAGGGAGGGTGGTGACTGGATATCGGACGCCTGCCAACTGCCATTGCATCTCTTCCACTTGCTACTAGCTACTCTACTCCTCTATGTACATGTAGGAGTGACATACTGTGGCAGCAAGATGCACCGCTCCATCCTGGCCGGTGGGACAAGAATCAACCAAGAACAACAGATTCCATTCAACCAAGGAAGGCATCTTCTACCACTTTCTATGTGTGTATGTGCTCTTTTGTCGTAATGTTATCTGGCGAACGTCAGCTGGGAAGGGGATGACATGCGGCGGACACACTTTCCTAACAGTTTTAGTTACGGCGCGAGATCAAATAGTGACGGTTTCAGAAGCAAAATGTCTTTCTGTGAGGAAACTATCTTGCAGTTCTGAAGAAACCGCCAACCCCCATACAACTAAAACTGTCATCTAAACGTTTGCAAATGCCAGCCCTCCCCCAACGAACATTCACCAGTTAAGAGCAACTCTAGCAGACCTCGCAAAAGGCCCCGACCCGCAAAATAACCGGCAAAATGCGGGTCGGCGCGGGAAATCCCGCCCGAACAAACCCGCAAACGCGACCGGCCCACAAAAATTTTTGAGGGGCGCGGCAAAAACTTTACCCCGCAAATACGCGGGTTCCCCCACTCCGGTCCGTCGGTGCCCTGCATATAGCGGGAGCGGTTGGTGGGGAGGACATTTAAGCCCGCGCGATTCCCCACCAACCACCTCCCCTCTCCCCCTCGCCCCGCCGCCCTGCCGTCGGTGCCCTTCATATAGCGGGAGCGGTTGATGTCCTATGTATCCAATATGGTTGAAAAAGCAAAGAAATGCAAATCGAGTTGCAAATGAGGTCCAAATTTACGTTTTGCGGGTCAGGGGGAACGGCCGCAAAGGCAGACCTCGCAAAGACGACTCGTAAAAGAGGATACGGGCCGGCTTTATGGGGTCTGCCTCTGCGGCCATTCGCGCCGGCCTGCAAAACCGTTTTTCCGCGAATTGCAAACACGTTTTGCGCGTCGGCGGGTTGCGGGGTCGGCTAGAGATGCTCCAAGAGGGTCCTTTTCTTTGTGATGGAGATGAAATTGGATCAGCATCAAGCAAGCATGGTAAGTAAAAATTAAGAAGAAGATGCAACCATCAGAGGAATTGAGTGATATATAACAGGCAGACAGGACAGATGTAGGTAGGAAGGGCGCACACACACACACACACACACATATGAATAATACATACATATGTGACATGTCCATGTATCCGGGCCATGAATGTATGGATGGGGGGAGGTGGATAGATGCGAAGAACAAGAAGGTGATGGGTGGGAGGAGAGAAAGAATGGGAAAAATGGAAAGTGAGGGAGACAGGGGGCATGGGCAGGCCAGGAAGCGACCAAATCAACTCCCATCCGGTTTTATCCTTCCCTCCGGCTGCTATCTCCCTCTCCCTCTCCCTCTCCCTCTTGCTGCAGGCTGCCTGGGCTGGGCTGGGCACAATCAGACTCAGTAGTAGTACCGCTGGACAGGGACGAATTGAATCGAGTCAGCAGCGGGCTAGCAGCCATCGTACAAGCCAAATCGCATTAACGAGTTGAGTTCTAGCTAGGCTGGGGTCGAGCCTGCCTGGCTGCATTCGCCCGCGCCCACCAGCAGAATCCGCCACCATATCCCTGCGATCGCGCCGCCTGCCCAAACCTCCATGAATTATTCTGGGAGCCAAGTTGTAGCTAGCTTCTCTGATGCAAGTGAGCCAAGCTGCGGTGTTGTTGGTTGTCGGACTAGAGATCTTGCTTGGTTCCTCGTATGATTTCTTCAACAACACGAAGAAGCTTTCTTGATCTCAAACGCCGTCGTCATTCCAATATTATGCATGCATGATTTACTACAAGGGATACTCTTTCAGAGTATTTTAGAAAAACCTCTGTATCGAGCGAGGTACACAGTAATTTTATTAAATGATATAGCAACAAATTACGAAACTCATCTCAAGTACATAAGCAAAAGCAAATCGTAAAACGAAATGTCACAGTCTACTCCCTCCGTTCAAAAATATAGTGCGTCCTCGGTTCCCGCGCTTTGACTGTGACCATAAATCTAACCAACGAGACCAACTGCGGCGGGAGCAAAATTTTTACCAGTGAATTTGTATTCAAAAGAACTTTTCAATTATATAATTTTTGCGCCCGCTGAAATCGTTCTCGTTGGTTAAATATATGGTCAAAGTGGAAACTCGGGAAGCACGAGCGCACTATATTTTAAAACGGAGGGAGTATTTTATTATTGGACCCTTAACCATTGGGATTGTCAAAGTGACCAGGGGAGAGGTCTCCGAGACCCAGATTGTGCAGAGGCTTCGAGAGTTAGCTCCAGGGGACTTCCAGTGGGAGCTCGTCAGTCTTGTGGCAAGGTTGTTTAGGGTTGAGTTCCCTTCGAAGGAGGATTTACAGAGAATTATGAGTTTTGGGTTGTGCAAAGTGCCCGGTACAGAGTGTATCCTCGAGTTTCATGAGTGGTAGCAGGTTGACCCTCAGGGTAAGCCTCTTACTCAGGCTTGCTTGCGTTTTTCCGGGCTCCCTCGAAGGCGATGCAGGATGCTAGAGTCGTGGCTAGCTTGGGCATCATGATGGGGAAAACTAAGCGAGTGGATATGGCTTTTACCAGAGCTCACGGGGTAGCTCGTCTACTGGTTAGTATTTTGGACATTGAGTTCGTGCCTGATGTGATCAAGTGGACATATCGAGGCCAGATTTATAACCTAGTGATTTAGTTTGAGGATGAGAGCCTGTTCGCCGAGGCGGCTAACGGGACTGATGTTGACATGCACGAGGGTGATGACAGCGCAGGAGCGAAGGAGACACCGGTCGAGAATACTGGACGAGAGTTGTCCAAGGGACCGTGGTCCGTTTCTCAGACGACCGGGGATGGGACGGTTCCACCCTTCTCGGTGCCTACGACTTCTCTCAGATTTGGGTCTTTCGAGCCAGCTTCTGCACCCGCGAGACTTTAGAGTGATCGAGTGGAGTCTGACGAGGTGTTTGAGCTCGCGTTGCCTGCTTTGGTGTTTGAGGATGCTGTGAGCCCCGTTCTTGGGGCCTTGCCGGTCTCGGTCAGGGGAGAGGAGGAGGTTCCCTCCCATGTTCTGCACGTTGACTCGTCTCAAGTACATAAGAAAAAGCAAATCATAAAACAAAAATGTCACAATATACTCCCTCTATTCCAAAATATAGTGTGTCTTCTGTTCCCGCGCTTCAACTGTGACCATAATGTTGGGGAACGTAGTAATTTCAAAAAAATTCCTACGCACACGCAAGATCATGGTGATGCGTAGCAACGAGAGGGGAGAGTGTGTCCACGTACCCTCGTAGACCGAAAGCGGAAGCATTATGACAACGCGGTTGATGTAGTCATACGTCTTCACGATCCGACCGATCCAAGCACCGAACGTACAACACCTCCGAGTTCAGCACACGTTCAGCTCGATGACGATCCCCGGACTCCGATCCAGCAGGGTGTCGGGGATGAGTTCCGTCAGCACGACGGCGTGGTGACGATGATGATGTTCTACCGACGCAGGCCTTCGCCTGAGCACCGCAACGATATGACCGAGGTGGAATATGGTGGAGGGGGGCACCGCACACGGCTAAGGAACAATCACCAAGGTCAACTTATGTGTCTAGAGGTGCCCCTCTGCCCCGTATATAAAGGAGGGAGGGGGAGGTGCGGCCGGCCCCCTAGGGGTGCGCCTGGAGGAGTCCTACTCCCACCGGGAGTAGGACTCCCCCCTCTTGCCTTGTTGGAGAAGGAAGGGGGAAGGGGGAAAGAGGAAAGGGGGGCGCCGCCCCCCTTCCTTGTCCTATTCGGACTAGGGGCGCGGCCTGCCCTGGCCGGCCCTCCTCTTCTCTCTTATGGCCCATGTAGGCCCATTGACCCCCGGGGGGGTTCCGGTAACCCCCCGGTACTCCGGTAAACTCCCGATTTCACCCGGAACGATTCCGATATCCAAATATAGGCTTCCAATATATCAATCTTTATGTCTCGACCATTTCGAGAATCCTCGTCATGTCCGTGATCACATCCGGGACTCCGAACAACCTTCGGTACATCAAAACTTATAAACTCATAATAAAACTGTCATCGTAACGTTAAGCGTGCGGACCCTACGGGTTCGAGAACTATGTAGACATGACCTAGAACTGTTTCCGATCAATAACCAATAGCGGAACCTGGATGCTCATATTGGCTCCTACATATTCTATGAAGATCTTTATCGGTCAAACCGCATAACAACATACGTTGTTCCCTTTGTCATCGGTATGTTACTTGCCCGAGATTCGATCGTCGGTATCCAATACCTAGTTCAATATCGTTACCGGCAAGTCTCTTTACTCGTTACGTAATGCATCATTCCGTAACCAACTCATTGGTTACATTGCTTGCAAGGCTTATAGTGATGTGCATTACCGAGAGGGCCCAGATATACCTCTCCGACAATCGGAGTGACAAAACCTAATCTCAAAATACGCCAACTCAACATCTACCTTTGGATACACTTGTAGAGCTCCTTTATAATCACCCAGCTACATTGTGACGTTTGGTAGCACACA